ATGAGGCTATGGTATATCATGAGGCTATGGTATATCACTGAGGCTATGGTATATCACCGAAGGTATGGTATATCATGAGGCTATGGTATATCATGAGGCTATGGTATATCACTGAGGCTATGGTATATCACTGAAGGTATGGTATATCATGAGGCTATGGTATATCATGAGGCTATGGTATATCACCGAGGCTATGTTCACTCAGTACAGTTGATGTTAACTGCTATGTTCACATACGGTACAAATTAGGGCCGTGTGATATTATATCACGATATACTGGCGATTATGTGGCTCGGAATCATCACCAGGGCTTTAGATGACAGACTAAACAATTGTCTGGATGCCAGCTTTTCGGTGATATATAGGCGTTAACTTACACCCACAATCTGTGATATCATGCAGCCCAAGAACAAAGCACATCCTGCTCCTCAGTACGTCACTCTGTTTAACATTGGAGGCGGCTGCATCTGCAGGAAACCATTAGCGCTGTCCAGCAGTGAGCCGCAGCACAATCCCAGGCCCACGGGTAGAGCATCTAAACTCTGGGAGAACCCCAGCCCTGTCACGGAGAAAAAACCCCCCCACCAGGGCACTTCACACTGCAGCCCACAAGCTGTCGTGGCACAGCTGGTAGAAAACACCCGTAGGAACAGCACATGGCACAAAGGCCGTCTCCGTCCAGCTGTCCAGGGCCAGCGCCGGGCCTGATTGGTTTACCGGAGCATGATGTAATAGAGCGAAGTCCACTTGTAGCTCACATTCACTAGCCTCCTTCCCTCCCCAGTAACGCCAGTCCCTGGGGGCGACCCTGCTCTGGAGGGCGTGTGCCAGCACTGAACCAGAGTTCGATGTCTTCAGGGCAGTTTATAAACTGTTCTATAAACACCGCATTCCTGGTTCGCTGCCAAAAGCCAAAACGCCATTCCGCACAGAGCCTGGGGACCGACACCAGGGAGAAGTTGGAGGGAGAGTTGATGTGCCACAGACATGCTCAGCTTTCAATTATTTCTGCTAACATGATAGATACTAGCAGGTAGGGAGAGCCATGTTTTTCACATGATAAACCTTTCACTTTTTAATAAATTGTGACGCTACCTTAAAAGTCGCGTGAAACATACTCAGTTCTGTAAGGGGGCTGGAGAACTTCATTGGCATCACAAACACTTGGATGGATGCCTTTTGTTACCACTGGCGACTTTCTTTACAAACTATGCAATCAGTAAGTATTTGAGCCAAGCCGACAACAAGGGACATGCCTGAAACATAAATGGCAGTAAAGGCTTTGTGAGCCATGCCTCTCGCTGACACATGCTCAGTGCAAAAATCTCAAATGTCCAGCATAAAATGGGAAACGTAACAAGAGAATGGCCTTTCAGTACTCAGGCGCTGGGCGGGCTTACATAGACACTGCCCCCTGGGTGCTCTGTTCCCATGACCCATGGAGGCGCCGAGCGAGCGGGCAGGCGACCGTACTCACGAGGCATGATGCCCTGGTCCACCAGCTGCTCCCGGGTGCGTCGCTGCTGCAGTCGGAGCTGAAGGACTGTGGGAGCAACAAAGCAGAGGTTCAGACTCCCTGCCTGCTCGTGGGCTCCTCAGGGCAGGATGTGCTGTTCCATTCAGAAGGCAATGTTATGTAACACGTATATACACACACACACACACAACCCTAATCACAACAATGACAGCCTTAACCCCTAACTAGCCCTAACCATAACCAGAAGTAACCAAAAAAAAATACAAGACTTTTGGCATTTTTAGTTTTTTGATTGCAGTCACAGATTTTTTAAAAAGGTGGTCCCCACGACATCTAAATAATAGGTTTTTTATCACATTGTGATAACCCCCCCCCACACACACACACACACACACACACACACACACACACACACACACACACACACAGATATGCACAGATGTGCAGACGCACTTTGTATTTCTCTCTTCGTTAAGTCCTCCCAGTGAATTAAGCTCTTGATTTATTGCATGTTTCCTAAAAGAATAAAAAAGTGCATAAAACAGCTTTATGAGGATGTCTTTAGAAGGTCTGATGGTCTGCTCTCTTTGTGAGGACCATGCTGAGAAAACTGCCACCATGAAAAGCCAAAATGCACAGGCATCGCTGCCCGAGCGCCACAAACATCCTATGCATTTCCTCTCCATCACGCACTAGCAAATGACTCTGCCAGACTGTGGAGCGGCTGCTGTCTCTGCGCTCCCAAAAGGCGCAGCAGTGTGGAATGAAAACACAGAACCTCGTACAAAAATGTAGTCAACTGTTTCTTAATACTCTTCTGAAACTTACGTCACTTAACTTACATAAAGTTTAGTGACTTAAAAATGCTGAGGGAAAATATGGAGACACCGGTTACTCTAAACACATTCATCTGGATACATGAAATTGTCGAGTATTTCTAAACACAAACTTCAGGGTGCTGGTTATACAAAACAATACCGCTGGGTATACAGAACTGGTGACATGTTACGAGCAGCGAGCCCTGATCCACGAGACACTGCGACTCTCAGGCGAGCGACTCGAGCTGGCAGCCCGTAAGAGATATCGCTCCGTCCGACAAAAACACTGACTCACAGCGGCAAAAATAAACGCAGCAGCTGTGAGAGGCAGGCTCGGGGGATCACTGAAGCCCCGTTCTGGGCCAGCTCGGAGTTACGAGTTACGAGAGGCTTCCCCGACAGCCCTGAAGGATGGTTTCTGCTTCAGATATTTCTGGTAATGGTGCCCAGTGTGTGCTCACCAGCACATCCTGCCATTTCTGCTGTCAGTCTGACCGTTAATGCAGAAGGAGGTCCTGTAACAGGTGCTGTAACAGGTGACAGTGCCCTGAGATCATGTCTGTAAACAAAAGGAGAACATTCTGACTTCCATGTGTTGAAGGTCTTTGTAAAACTTCCCTCTTTAAGTGCATAGCCTTCATTATTGTATTGCAGGCCAAGGCCATAGTTAGAGATGAATGGTTGTGGGGGCATGACAAACATATAAAACAAAAAGTTATTCATGACTTAAGCCAATCAACACACAATTACTTGGGGGGGGGAGGCTAAAACATTTTAGTGGGGCTAATGACACCCCTACTGCAGGCTAACTTCTGTTAAGATAAGAAACATTTCCATTGTTCCATTGTTGAAAATTGGTGAAACACACAAAAAAACGGCTCTTTACCAACAGAGATAAAAATCATGAGCCAAATATACAGAACTGATCAGACTGAGTAGACAGTAGAATTACTGAAATCAAGTTCAGACCCCTAAACCAGGAATGTCTGTGACTAAGTGGTTATATGCAATTCTACATGCCAGAAAACATAACCAATATACACTCACCTAAAGGATTATTAGGAACACCTGTTCAATTTCTCATTAATGCAATTATCTAATCAACCAATCACATGGCAGTTGCTT